CCCTGGGCAGGCACTGGGGACACGTGTGGGACACAGCCAGGCCAGCAGTGCCACCATGTGGGAGCAGGTCACCTCCTTCTGCCAGGACACGGGCAGCAAGGGATCCTGGAGCATCAAAGAGAGCAGTTGGAAACACAAACACACATACATGTATAAATAAACTCAACTCTCACCCTCCCCCCATCCCGAAACTTAAAAAGAATGAGAGACTTATCCTGAGAAATTTACTCAGCCAGAAACCTGCTCCTTGCTGGAAACCAAAAGATTGTGTTTTTTCTCAAGTGTTTTTCAGTAATGCCCAGAAAAATAACTCTCTTTTACTGGGCACTGAAGTGAGACTGACAGGGCTGTAATTACCAGGGTCTTCCTTCTTTCCTGTCTTGAAAACTAGGACTTTGGCCAGCTTCCAGTCTGCAGGGACCTCTCCAGGCTCCCAAGACTTGAAAAATAATGGAGAGAGACGCTGTGATGACAGGCCCAGCATTTTCAGTACCCTGGGACAAACCCCACCATGCCCCATAGATTTATGTGCATCCAGCTGGAGCAGCAAGCCTCAAACAAGTTCAGTTTTGGCTGGAATCTTATCCTGCCCCTAATCACAGTCCTCCAACACAGAGCTCTGGGGGTCCCAGGGCCCATCACTGATGTTAATGACAGAGGTGAAGAAGGCATTAAACATCTCTGCTTTGTCTATGTCCCTATCTGTGAGGTGTCTGACCTCATCAAGTGCGGACCAATGTTATCTCTGATCCTTCTTTTGCTGTTAATATGTTTTAACAAGTCCTTTTTGCTGTGCTTCACAGTGCTGGCAAGCTTGAACACCAATCAAGCTCTGACCACATGAATTTTCTCTCTGCAATGGTAAACAGCAGCTCCCTAATTTTCCTGTGTAACCTGTCCTTGCTTCCAATGTCCATACGCTGGGCCTTGTGTTCCTCCCAAACATGAGTTCCTGCGACAATAACCTGTCTTTTTTTTTTCTCCACAGGAGTGATTTTGATATGGAATGCAGGTCAACTTGACCTTGTTGATACCTCCAGCCTCGATGGAGCATAGTCCTCAGCACTGGTTCTACTTGCAGAGCCTGGTATCTCTGACCCAAGGGCACCTGAGAAGGTGGGGTAGTCCCAGAAGAGTGCACAGAGAAATGCAGTGTAACCCTTGTGTGCAGCACAGACCAGTAGGAACAGCTGATTCCAAGGGAAGGCACCAGCACAGTCAGGAGTTACATGGAAACTGTGTTAGGAGTTCTCTCTAGGCACCACTGTTCATTTGTGTTGGTGTCCTGAAGCACAAGGTAAAAATCCGGTATGTAGGAGTTTAAAACAGAAATGTAACTATCATTTTTCTACTGCACAGGTGTTTTCACTGAACTGCTGAACACATTCCTACGTCTCCATCCTCAGACAATTCTGATAACTTTGACATTGCTTCCTTCTCTGTTGAAAAGAGCCTTTATTATCTAGTTTCTAGGTTATAAAAACTTATTTCTTGGCCTCCACAGCCAGCTGATTTCCTTTCTACTTAGTGATAAAGGCTATCTTATCTGGCTTTATGGAATGCTGAACTTCAACAGCTAACAGCCATTGAGCCATATGAACTGGTTGCACCCTGGAATTTGTTGATCAGAGAAAAGAATTTTCCTTCAGTAATATCCAGATAATTGTCCAAACTCTAGCAGTTCTTTCCACTTAGCATCTGAGCTGAAATTAAGTAAAGAATTAAACCTTCTTGTTCTGCAACACGTCAGGAGCTCTCAACAAGAAATTTATTTTTCTATTAGCAGTGTTACCATTAGAATGTAAGTCAATCAACACATTTAACTAAAACCCACCCAGTTCCCCAGAAATGATCTAATTTAAATGGGCAGATTCCTCTGGAATGAAAGGATGTTGTTTTAAACAGGAAAAAAGAGGTCAGGCAGTGATCAAAGAAAGCAGACATTGAAAAAAGTTCCTAATTTAATATTGCCTGTTTCAATGAGACCTGTATTGACAGGTACGTGTCCCTTGTCCCACACCCTCGGTCTGGTGCCCCGAGTCCCGCACCGTCCCGCTATCCCCTGTCCCGGTGCCCCTGTCCCGGTGTCCCTGTCCCGGTGTCCCCTGTCCCGCACCCCTGTCCCGGTGTCCCCTGTCCCGCACCCCTGTCCCGGTGTCCCTGTCCCGGTGTCCCCTGTCCCGCACCCCTGTCCCGGTGCCCCTGTCCCGCACCCCTGTCCCGGTGTCCCCTGTCCCGGTGCCCCTGTCCCGGTGTCCCCTGTCCCGGTGTCCCCTGTCCCGGTGCCCCTGTCCCGGTGTCCCCTGTCCCGGTGTCCCCTGTCCCTCACCCCTGTCCCGGTGTCCCCTGTCCCGGTGTCCCCTGTCCCACACCCCTGTCCCGGTGTCCCCTGTCCCGCCCCGCGGCCGCGTCCCCCGTCCCCACAGCAACGCGGACACGCCCCGCCCCTCCAGCACCAACAGCCAATCGCAGCCGAGAGCCCGCG